ATGTCTTTGTCTGATGGCATTGGAATAATATAATACTGGCCTCATACAGTGAACTGGGAAGTGTTCTTACCTCTTCCACTTTTTGAAAGAGTTTGTGAAGAATTGGTATTAATTTCTTAAGTACTTGGCAGGATTAAGCAGTAAAACCATCTGTGCCTTGGCTGTTCTTTATGAGTATTTTTGGATTATTCATTACTAATTTGAATTAGATTATCTACTTTTTCTTGAGTCAGTTTCAGTAGTTTGTATCCCTTCTAGGAATTTGTCTGTTTTACCTCCATTGTGTAATTTATTGCCATAGTGTTTACGGTTCATAGCATTCCTTTATAATCTTTCTTATTTTTGTAGATTTGGTAGTAATGTCCCCCATTTCATGCCTGATTCTAGTAATTGGTTCATCTTTGTTCAGCTAACAGTTTGTTAATTTTGTTGATCTCATTAATATCACTTCTAGTTTTAGTTTCTTTTGCTTGCTTTATTTAGGTTTAGTTTGCTTTTCGTTTTCTAGGTGGGAGGTCAGGTTATTGATTTGATATCTTCAGTATTTTAAAAAAAGGACTTTATTTATAGTAATATATTTCCTATTTTAGGTGTTGCTTTAGTTATGTTTGATGAGTTTTGGTATGTTGTATCTTATTTCCATTCTTCTCAAACTGTTTTCTAATTTCCCTATTTATTTATTCTTTTACCTATTGATTATTTAGGAATGTATTTAATTTCTACATATTTGTAAGTGTCCCAGATTTCTTTCTTATTGGGTTCTTATTTCATTCTATTATGGTCACATAACATACTTTGTACTATTTTAAGTTTTGAAAATTTGTTTGATTTGTTTTATGGCCTAGCTGGTATGTGGTCTGTTCTGGAGAATGTTCTTTATGAACCTTAAATGAATGTATGTTTTGCTGTTGTTGAGTTAAAGGTTCTAGTTTTGTAGATTTATAGTGTTATTAATCTTTTCTTTGTTGCTGTTATGCTTAGTTGTTAAGACTATTATTGAAGGTAGGGTATTGACGTCTCCCGACTACTACTAAGTTTCCAAATTACCTATTTCAACTAGCTCTTCCTATATTATTATGTCCTGTTCTTAGGTACATACCTGTGATAATTCTGCAGTTTATTATTGTACAGTATCCTTCTTTAATAACATTTTTGTTTAAAGTCTGTTTTATCATTATTAGTATTTAGCCTCTCCACCTTTTCTTTCTTTTTAATTCTTTTTAGTTATAGATGGATACCTTTATTTGATTTATTTTTATGTGGTGCCAAGGGTCAAACCCAGTGCCTCACATATGCTAGGCAAGCGCTCTCCCACTGAGCTACAACCCTAGACCCTCTCCATCTTTCTTATTGTTGCTATTTTTATGATATCTTTTCCCATATTTCAATCTAATTGTATCTCTGAATTTAAAGTGTGTGTCCTCTAGCAACAGACAGTTTGATTTTTCTTTAAATCTAGTTGTACCATCTCTCTTTTCTTTTTGGATACTTAGTATGTTGACATTTAATGTTACTGCTGTAGTTATACTGATGTCTACCAATATTCTCCCCCAGTAGGTCTTATGTCTTTCTGTTTCTCTGTTCTTCCATTATTGCTTTCCTTTCCATTAGTGGGTATTTTTTAATCTGGCACTTTGATTGCCTTAGTGGTATTTTTAGTGTGCCTTTTAAAGTTATTTGAAGACTTTTTGCCTTGTCTTTGAACATTTTTACTATTATGTGTCTGTTTATGAATATTTTCATGTTTGTTCCATTCCCTTAATGTATATGATAGTGTTAAGAAGTTTTTTTAAAAAAATAGTCTGTCTCTGGTCTCTTTCTGGTACTTCCATTGTACATGTAGTAGTGTGGTTAATGGTTATTCATATTTCTCTGAGGCTCCATTCATTTATATTTGTTGTTCTATTTGTTCTTTGTATTGCATAATTTCTATCAATGTATTTTCAAGTTCGTTCTTTGTTATGCCAGATTACATCTGCTGTTGAGCACCCTGTCAGTGAATTTTTCATTTCAGTTATTATACTTAGTAACTCCAGAATTTCCATTTTGTTTTTTTGAATGATTTCTCTCTGTTGAAAATTCGTATTGATGTAACATTATCAGCATATCTTTTTTTTCCTTTTTTGAATCATGGTTTATCTTAGTCTTTTGAACACATTTATACTGACTATTTTGAATTCTTTTTCAAATATGATATCTAGTCACTTCACAGGCAGTTTCCAGTTTCTTTTTTTCTTCTAGTATATGGCTTATACTTTCTTCTTTTGTTGTAAGCATCAGAATTTTTTGTTGTTTTTATAAAGTGAATGTTTTATGTAATATATTGAAGCAACTCTGTATATTGTCCTCCGACCCCAGAGTTAGTTTTTATTTGCTGAGCGACTGACTGTATGATTTTAGTGAGGTCCTTTTCCTCATACTTTTCCTTTTTGCACTGTTAACTTACTGATATTGTTCCTCTGGTGATGCACTTAGGTATGGCTACAGTTCCTGGAGATGGCAGTATGACAGGGATTTCTTCGATATCCTTTTTGCTTAACCACGTTTAGCTGTTAATGGCCACTGATTGTAAGCTGATTATGCTGGTGTTTTCAAAAATGTTCTGGGGCATAAAATGATCTACAGACTAATCTAGGTAAATTCAATCTCCTTAGAAGGGATAGTTTGAGTTTGTTTTTTGTTTGAGTCTAGAAAGGGTCCTCTACAATATCTCTTTCCCAGGGCAAACTAGACAGCTTACAGTACTAGTTTCCAGTGAATCTGTGTATCCATTCTATCCATAGGCAGATGCTACACTTCACTCCATCCTTCATTCTTTTTGAGACTATTCATAGGCTTAATGTTCCCCATGTTGTGTTGCAAGTAATTTTCCTTTAGTGAAAGGTTAGTTAGGAGTTATCTGTCTCATGCCCCCTACACTATTCCCTGACCCATGTAAAAATCTTTGAACTAGGGCTCTGGGGATGGGGGTAGAGACAGTGGCATGCTTCTGTCTGAGTGACACCCTGCTTTAGAAACTGAGTGCTGAGGGCAAGTGGATAAGGGAAAGTAGGCCATCTAGGTTTGCTATTCCTGGCAAGACATCAGCCCTGTTATAAGGCAGAGCAAGGATGATTGGGACCCAATTATTAGTGTGACCTATTCAAGAGAGGAGAACTGTACCAGCGGTTCTGAAATTCAGAGAAGTGAGTTTTACCTCTTGGCTGCATGGCTGCATACTTCTGGAACTTAATTTCAGGAAAAGGTAGCTGGCAATCAGGTAGTATATGAAATAGGATCAGAGATTTTCTTTTAAATTGTTTTTAGGTATTTGAGGCATCACAGTAATGCCTCTCTGTCTTTTCTTTGTGTATGTATATGTATATTCATAGCAGCATTATTCACTGTAGCCAAAAAGGAGGATCCCAAATGTCTATTACTGAGAGCTGAACAAAATGAGTTACACCATATAGTGGCACGTTTGGCAATAAAAAGGAATGAAATACTATTATATGCTATAACAAGTGAACCTTAAAAACATGGTTAAGTGAAGGAAAGCTATCACAAGACTACATACCGTGAGATTCGTTTTATATGAAATGTCTAGAATATGCAAATTTTAGACAAAATAGATTCATGATTGACTAGGGCTAGGGTGTGGGTGCAGAAATGGGATGTGACTGTTTAATAAATACAGGTTTATTTTTTGGGATGATGAAAGTAGTCTAAACTTAGATTATAGTGATAGTTATACATATCTGTGAATATACTAAAAACCATTGAAGTTTGCACTATAAACAGGTGAATTGCATTGTCTACATTATATCTTAATATAGATGCTAAAACAAAAAGAAAGTTTTTTATTTAGGTTTTATTTTGAATTTTATGAGACATCTGTTTTACATTCAAATATCAATCAGGCCAACTTGTAGAGCTTTTGTGATCATATAGATTATAAGAGAGTCATATTTTATAATTTCAGTTTAAAAATCAAGTGTATTGTGGTGAATATTTTGTGATCTATACAATATAATTTACTTTTGATGAACTCATACTGGTTTTTCATCTTGTATTATATAATGACAAGTTGTTCTAGGCAAATCATAAAATTTATTGGTAGTTTTGATTTTGTGATAACTTTTTATTCTGATGTTGTAATTAAGTTCTGTAATTTTAATGATTTCCTGCTTTACACTTTTAAAACAGTCTTTTAAAATGATTCTCAGAAATTTTACTAGTAGTGTAATTTATTTCTACCATTGTACATTTGAAACCACTGACTTGGAAAGGTTGGCTTTGTAAATATATTCCTTTTTAACCATGTTTCTTCAAATATTTTGTTATAGATATTTAGGTCAGGGTTATATTTAACATTTTTTTCATCTCTGATTAATCCCTTGTGTCTCCTGTGATAAAGAAAAACATTTGTTTCGTTAGTGGTCCTCTTATGCTAGATATTTATAAACTTTTGTCTCTGAATATGTCTTTTGATTTCTTATAAGGGCATCACAGTAATGCCTCTATCTTTCCTTTGAATCAGTTCTTAGGAAAAATGGCTAGGTAATATTTCCTTAAATTTCTTCTGTCATCTTTAGTTTTCAAGAAAGTTAGGTTCTTTTGCCCCAATAAATTGTTTTCATAGTAAAAACAGGCACACATATCAAATATACTTTTGTGTTAAAACAGATGAAATATAAAAACCTGTATTTTTCTAAAATTTTTTCTTTTAGTAAGTTGTAATATTTTAAAAATCCACTTAAAAGTAACCCTCTTAGAGGTTACTTTAAAATATTTGTATGTAAATAAAAGTCTATTCTAAAAACTTTTCTTGAAATTATAAAATTTGCTTAATTGTTTATCTAAAAAGACTTGGTTAGCCTTTGTTCCCCAAAGAGAATAAATTAAATAGATTTAAATATGGATAATAGAATAAATTAAAAGAATAAATAGATTAAATAGATTTAAATATGATTTAGAAAATTGTCATGTGATATATTGGATTATTCCCCCTTCTTTTTCAGGAACTCTTGGTGTAATAACAGAAGCTACAATAAAAATCAGACCAACCCCTGAATACCAAAAGTATGGCTCGGTAGCTTTCCCTAATTTTGAACAAGGAGTAGCCTGTTTAAGAGAAATTGCAAAACAGGTAAAAACAAAAACAAAACAAAAACAAAAATAATAAGAAAATATATTTATACTTTTAAAATTCTGCTGCGTAATTGTGGAAATGTTATAAGTAATCTTCATATTCAGTTGTATTATATTTGTGACTTTTACCCAGTTCTCTATGAAAGGATAGTGCTATAAAATCACCCCTTTAAGTGCAGTTACTATTACTTTCAGTAATTATATTGCTATCACACCTATTTGTTGGTTTCAAAAGGGATGTGTGGTTTTAAGCCCAGGTAAGATATGTACTTGGATTGTGGCTTTGAATGACTCTGTCTTTTATTGGATATTCTATTTCTTAAGTTATCGTTGGGTAAGATATTTTGTGATTAAAGTGATTTTTAATTTATCTTAAATTAAGACATTTATTGAAATTAGAGTAATGTCTGAATATCAGTGACCCTGAAATTTAGAGAAATGTAGACAATTAGACTTCCATCAGTAAATAGAATATGCTGCTAGGCTTTACTTTGTTTTATAATATTACTTAAGCTATTGTTTAAGTAATATAAAATAATATAGTATAAAACAATATGTTTAACTATAAGCTAAAAAGAATTCCCATTTTCTTCTCCCTTAAAAAGATATATTGTTAAGTGTTTTTCAAAAGACTAGATAATGCCTAGAAATCATATTTCTGTATTCTGTGTATTAGTATGGAAATTCCTGCATTTTTCTAGGCATTTGTTCATTGTTTGAACCGGAATAGTTTGTAATTCTTTCTCAACATTTCTCAGCAGGAAGGAAGTTAAGGGTATGTACTTAGCCTTTTTCTTCTTTCTTTCTTTAAACTCCTAGAGCTCTTTAATATTTACTGTCATCCATATTTAAATAGAATCTTGTGAGCAAGGGAGTTTTTCAGTGTGACCCAGTATCTAAGTTTCTCAGTGTCCAGGTGGAGGGAGTCTGATAAACAAATGAAAATAACTAACAAGTAGTCTGTCTTCATCTTGGACTTTGTAAGATACTGAAAGGGAAAATGGCAAATAGTTTTACTTCCCACCATCCCAAGACAACCACTATTGGTGTTTAAAGGAAATTATCAACACACACACACACACGTGTGTGTATACCATTTCTAGTACTCTTGATTGCATATGCTCAGTCTTGCTTTCTGAGACACCATTCTTTTAATTTTGCATATTCAAGAATTTCATCTGTTTTCAAGAAGCTTATTTATCACAGTTAGATTGCTAGACTTAGCATAGGCCCCTTAATCTTGATTATTGTCTATCTACTCTTGGGGTGGAGAGAAGATTTAAAAAAGAAATATGGTGAACATTTTTTGGACTGTGACAGGTTACTTTGGTGTTAATGCAGAAATAAATATTGACAGTTGAAATTTTTGCCTAAAAGCCCTAATTCACTACAACCTTGATGATACTATATTATCATTAGGCAGCTAGAGTATATAATATGACATCACATTTACCAAAATGATTATTGGCAGTAATATTTAAAGCAGGAATATTAAGGAGGCATGGAAATAAGTTTTAGGAATAAATAGTATTTCTTGTGCTAAAATAATGGATAAGAAATGAAGTTCAAGTTCTTCTGATGCATGTTTGTAAAACATTTCCATCACTTTTGAAGACCAAGGAAAACATGGTAACTTTATACGTAAGCTACCTGAAGTATTAAGAAGCAAAGAAACTGTGTACAGAGCTTTACAGTTTTGCTTATGAGTTGATACCTTAGAAGAATGGGAAGTTCATCAATTAAAAACAAAATCAAAGAATTTTCAGAATAAATTCTGTATTCTTGTTAATTTCAGATCTTAAAGAGTGATTTTTTTTATTCAGATATTTTCACTTTGAATTATAATCTACCTTATGTGTTAAATTCTTTTATTTCCCCTGCATGTTTTATCAAGCTGGACAATTTCCCACCAAAAAGCTCATTAAAGATACAGTTTATATTATCTCTTGTTCAAGGTTTGAACAACATATTTCTAATTATTATTATTCCCTCCATTTTATGGCAAAATAAATATGAATGCCAAGTTAGAATTTTAAAAATTATAGTTATAAAAGTAGTTTGAATCTTCCTTCCTTCCTTCCTTCCTTCCTTCCTTCCTTCCTTTCTTTCCTTCTTTCTTTCTTTCTTTCTTTCTTTCTTTCTTTCTTTCTTTCTTTCTTTCTTTCTTTCTTTCTTTCTTCCTTTCTTCCTTCCTTTCCTTCTTTCTTTCCTTCTTTCTTTCCTTCTTTCTTTCCTTCCTTCCTTCCTTCCTTCCTTCCTTCCTTCCTCCCTCCCTCCCTCCCTCCCTCCCTCCCTTCCTTCCTTTTCGACTGAACCCAGGGCCTTATGTATGAGAGGCATGTACTGTACCATCTGAGCTATATCCCCAGCCCTTATTTGTTTTTGTTTTGTTTTGTTTTTAAACAAAAGACCTCAGTGAGATCATGTTTACTCACCACTGTCCCTTCATAATATATGCACTGTAAGAACACAGATTCAGTTGACTCATTAAAAAGTACTATGTGATCTTTGGAGTAGATGTGTACACATTTTATGCTTTCCTGAGTGTTCCATCAACTTTTGCACATTATAAATATATGTAAATCTATGTTACATTTCATCATAAGAAGTGATGTACAGATGAATCAAAATCTTAAGTTTATGATTTCATTAGAATGGAAATGTTAAATTTAAACATATATGGTCGGTGCAGTCTGGTGCTGTGTTTGTTACAGTTTGCGACGCTCCTGATAGAAAGTGATAAAAGAGGAGTTACCTGTGCCATTGAATAGTGGGTGATAGATTTTTTTCTTTTTCTTGTGTAAATCTGTAAAATTTGTATTTTTATTTATTTAAAAAAGTTCTTAGGATACTCAAAAATTCTTAGAATTCATTATACAAATTATGCTGCATATATATCTTGGATTAAATAAGTAATGATTGAATTTATCTAATTCTAGATAGGGAAGAGGGGTGGGAGGGAAAAGGAGGGGGCAGGGGATTAGCAAGGGCAGTGGAATGTGATGGACATCATTATCCAGAGTACATGTATAAAGACTTGAATTGGGTGTCAACATAATTTATATATAAACAGAGATATGAAAAATTGTGGTATATATGTGTAATAAGAATTGTAATGCATTCCACTGTCGTGTATTTAAAAAAAATAAAATCAGTAAAACTAAAAAAAATTAAATAAAAAATAAAGGTAATGATTAATAGAAAGTACCACCCTGTGATTAAAAAGCAAGTCAGAAAGAAAGCACTTTTCTGATAGTTTTGACAGTTTGGTTTTGTGTAGTTAGTAGTAGATAATCTCTAGAAACAAATGCTGTGGTCTTAGAACTGATTCAAAAGTCCAAAGAGACAATATTTTATTCTCGAATATTGCTCTTATACATTATAAAGATGCTAAGAACCATTACTTCAATTTGGAGATATTACATTATTTTGGGAAATTAAGTATTTTACTTGTCTCATGATATGTAGTAGAAAAGCATTAAATGTTTACCTGGAAATGGATAAAGGATTGTATAATGGTTTAGGGATATTTGCATATCAATTTACAGAGTGTGCAAATCTCATATGTCAAGAGCAAGATACTATTTGCTGCTCTCCTTTGTAACAGTATTGTCAGGCAGAAAACGTGAGAAAATTATCAGATATTGGCACTAGTCATTGTTCAATTTGGGATTTGGAATTTCTGCTGATAGCAGGCAAATTAAGATCCATTAAAATAGATGGTACATGGTTTATAATTGTGCCAAATTCTTGATTGAATAATGAGTTGTTTGCTTGTAATTCCTCACTGTCATTTCAAAGCATTTTAATTTTTGCAGTATTTTCAGACTCAAGTTGCTTTTGGAATGGGAAACTGTATTTTGGAGTATCTTTTGGAAAGGAGCACACATGATTGTTCACAAATAGCAAAGTGGACTCTGTGTATACTTTTTATTACTATTCTTACTGAGGGAAATAAATAAGCTACCATACACTGGCAGCAGAAGGATTCTACTAAGGTTTCTCTCATCTTTGCCCATGTGAGTAATTGCCCTCTTTCAATACTTCACTGTCTTGTGAGGAGCTAGAAAGGAAGATTTAGTGGAAGATTAATGTGATTCTTTCTCATAAGTGGCAGTTCAGTATAATCTCCAACTTTACTCAGTAAATGGGTAAGTGAATTTTACGACTTTCTTAGAAAATAGATTTGTTATAGTAGCCTCTCAAGAAGGGGAAACATGATTTTTTTTAAAAATCATTGCCATTGTCAGATGTAACATTTTATTATTCTCTTTTCTTGTTTTTCTGGAAATGACAGTGGACATGTCTTTACATGGTTTGAAGGAAAACTGAATGTTGAAACAAGCTTAAAAGCACAGTTTGTGTGTGTGTGTGTGTGTGTGTGTATGTGTATGGAATTTGTTTAAAAAATACTTAGGATTTATACCTTATGATATTGAGAAAAGAGCATCTGTTTCAGTAAGAGGAAAATCTGACTATGTTTGGGATGGATTCTACTCATTCCCTTGAAAATTGTCTTTCTCAGTATCAGAACTAGATTTTTAGAATTACAGAGTAAATGATAGCCTTTCATCTCATTACTTTTTGACAAGGAGTAGCCTTTTCTACTTTCCAGCATTTTTATTTTAAACAATTTTAAACTGATTGGTATTTTTTCCTGGTGACCTTAGATCATAATTTAGGAAAGAATAGATCTTGAATTTTCTATAAAAATTTATCCTGCAGGGGTTCAAATAAATTGAAAGGAGTTAGGCTTACCACATAACTTTGTAAAATATTTAAAACTTCTTTATATTCAGAAGTAATTCTTGGGAATATTTATTACATATAGAAGATGGAATTGTCATTTAAAATCATTTGTGTGTAGAAAGAATAACCCTAATTAATGCTTGGTAATTGAATTTTTTATTGTGTAATCCAGCAAAATGAGGACAACTATAAGACAGACTCTCTATCAGAAGCCCCTCAGAGCAAGTTATTTTACTTTTATTAAAGTGA